CGAGCCTGTGCCTCGGGCTCTCCGGCTGGAAGAGGCCATCCTGCTGGCCAGGAAGCTTCGGCGGGACGGCAGCATGTCGCTGGGGACACGGCGAAGCGGGGCTGGCCTCACAGCAGGGCTTGGGTAAGCCAGGGAAGATGCAGTCAAAACAACCGGAGTGGGAGCAGCCTCCCTCCTGGGGATTTGCACAGGACCAGCAGCACCGTGGAGGAAGGACCACGGCCACGTCTGGATGGGCAGGAGGGAAGTGGCCACAGGCGAAGGCTCCATTTCTGCCACGTAATTATTCAGGTGGGAGAGGAGTCGCAGCCGGATGGGGTCAGCGGCATTTTGGCCCTCGAGGATGCCCAGGTACCTGACAACTTCAGTGAGACATTCGCGGAAGCCAATACTCCTGTAATCCACGGCCAGAGTAGGGAAAGGACATGGGTGACAGTAAGTCCATGCAGAGCTCAGGAATGTACTTTGATTTCACTACCCTCTCTAATACACTGTGTATTTCACTTGAGGCACTTTGCTGCTGTGTGATATTATTGAAGCAGATAGCCAAGTGGGTGTCCGAAAGGACTGGACGTTTGCGTGCATGAGAATAGCATCTGTGGTTATCTCATCGGGATAAAACTGCCAGGGTCATGAAGCCTCTTACTCCAGCATGCGAGACGACTAAGAGGTTTCATTAACCATGCTCAGGAAGAAAGAATTTTTTCCTGTTGGACTCTATCTGTTATCACTGCTGGAGACATGACTGTGGGCTAGATGGGCACTGGGTCCCTCTTTGCAAATGGATCATCCCCAATCTTGCAGAACAGGGCGACACTGTGTCTCCTTGATGCACAGCTTAGCGCCATTTTCCTCTGCCTGGGTCCCAATCTTTATACTTCATTTAAACAGATGTCTGGCTGAAGGACACAGGACGGTGGCAGAACCAAGACCGCTGGGCCGAGAAAGCTCAAAGCCACAAAAATCAACAAGATAAAATGTAACCGACGGCTGATTTTTAGGCTTCTGCTCCCTACTTGCAGCTTCATGAGACGATAAGCAATAAAGCAGAGAATGTCACAGCACAGCAAAGCGCTGGACCACTTTGCTTGACGGGGTCTCTCGTGACAATAAAGCCCTTTGTTGCAGTGCAGTCAAACTGAATATCTAAACAAATGTTCCAGACCAAGTTACAGCTCTGAACCAAAGCCTGGATGCCAGCAATGTCCCCAGCAAGCCAAAAATGGGTGGTAAGCAAGCCAGAGGCTTCTTTACTGGAGCTGTGATCTCCATCCTGTTAACTGGAACAGGACAGAGGGTCTGTACTAAGGTCTCAGTACAAATAAGACCTTTGTTGAATTTTGCACAGGGCTCCCTCTCTCTTCTTATAACAACCAAGAAACAAACAACAAAAAAAAAAAACAGAAAGGGAAAAAAGCCTTGTTTATTTGCAGAGTCCCCATGCAGAATTCAGCCTCTGCAGGAAATGTATCCCAGGGAGAAGGTAAAGAGTTTAATAATCGTTTTTCTGGAAGCAGGCTCCATTTCTGAGCAGGACTAAGCATGCCTCTGGCTGGGCATCTTTTAGCAGGGCGTGTGAGAACGACAGTGGTGCTGTCCCTGTGGGTCTGTGGGACTTGCTATCCCACATACCCCAGTTTTCCAAACGTATGCCTGGGGTGCTGACCCATATGTTAGACATAAGAAAAATAACAGGGCAGGAAACGTCCATCTGCCCTCCTTCAAAAAATATTTCCCTTGGGAAGCAGGCAGGGCAGCATTTATTTCACCAAAAATACTGCTTGCTGCTGAGGCTGATGGGGAATTTTCCTTCCAGATTTTCACTTTCACCTCACTCTTCTACTTGTAAGAGCAGTTCTTACCTGTTCCTCCAGTGGCATGAAGCATTTTTAAGTGATCTACTGTCATTTGTAGAATTTCTGCCTTCTCCAGCTTGGAAGATCCCTGTGTGTTGGGAGCAGGAAAAAAGAGCAATTCATCATTTTATGGTCTAGGGTTTTGTGCCTCTCAGGAGCTGGGTTTTTCCCACTGACCTCCACCCTGAAACCCTCCTGAAGCCCCGGAGTGCTCAGATTGGAGCAGGGTGTCCATCCAGGGCCTTGGCTCTGGTGTTTACAGCAAGTGTGTAGAAAATGGAGTTCCTTCCCAAGATCCCCCAAAGCAAATTGAAAATCCCCATTTCTGTGCATCCTCATATCTGCAAAACACTTTCTGGATTGAATTTATCCTCCCTAGGGCTCCTGAATATTTGTTAATATTGTTTTACCACCCAGTCTCACCACCTACTTACTCCCTGAAGTGATGATGATAAGAAAGACATAACAATGCTCCAGACTTTCTCATTCTGAGGCCTCTACCCTTACACTGCTGAAACGCAGCCCGCACGGGAGGATGAGTGGAAATCATGGGGGGACACACCTGCTTCTCAAAGGCGGTGGGCACCAGGCGCCGCAGTTCGGAGAGGCTGCTGTTGATACGGTCACGGCGCCGCTTCTCAATGATCTGTGGGAGATTTCCAAGCGGAGAGAAGAAACCACGGTTATCTACGGCCACAGCTCAGGGCTTTAAAGCCCTCAATAACAGCTACGGCAGGTTGAGAGAGGCGCTTACATATAAGTAAATGTTTTGGATGCAAAAGCTGAGCAAAGAAACATTAACTGACTCGTGTGATAACCCCAGGTGAAATTGCTCTCCTCCACCCCTATCTGCCAGATTTGAGGCCAAACCTCTGCAAAAAAATCACCAGTTGGCTGTGGGGAGAGTTCTGCAGGAGATGGAGCTGGGAGCGGTGTAAAGTCGATTTTGCACTGTGTCCCCACAGTAAGGATGTGCCAACAGCACCCCACCACACACAGGGGCTGTCACGGGGAGCCCTGGCACACAGCTGGGACCAGCCTGGCCCCCCAGGGCGACACAGCACACCCAGCCACCCTGGTCAGCACAAATAAGGCTCACCCCTCTCCGCTTCTTCCTGGCTTGTATCTGAGATGTCGTAGTGGGAGACACAGACCTGGAAACATGGCTGGAAAGGAAGAGGAGGGAGTCATTTCTTGTGCTAGCTGGAGAGAAACCTCTGTTGCACATATGCTTTACACACGTTTGCCATCTGCAGTTCCACACCAACACCCCCCCGCCCCCGAATAATGTCTTCTGTGGTTCCCATCTCATTTTTACCCACAACACAGAGCTCAGGAATTGGGGACGGGGAGCCAAGCAGAGACTTGAATCCCACTCTCCCCTCTCCCAGAGTCTCCCACCAGCCTGGGGCAGATTTCTGCACCAAACTGCCCATCCACTACCAGGCACATGTCTCCTTCAATCTCAGCCTGTGCTGGCATCTCCACAGGGTCGGAAAAGCAGCGATCCGAGCTCCGGAGACACGGCCCTTTCTTTTCCTCCATGTGCGAACCTCCCGGCTCTCATGTCTGAGCCTGCCCTGTCTGCAGGGCTTTGCATCTCGGAGCTGCGATGGAACGAGCTTGTATCCGAGCTCCCACCCAGGGCGGCAGCAAAGGGCTGGTCGCTCCTCAGGGTGAGGCTAACGGCAGCGTTGATGTGGTTTCTGAGGGCTTCCTGGAGAGACACTTCACAAACCACAATTTCTGGGGTGGGCCGTGATATTCTGAATGCATGGACACCCCTGAACCAGACAGCGAGGGGCCAGGACCTGGGCAGGGGGAACACCTGCGTGATGCCGCAGGGACCTGCCTGCTGGTCGACAGCACCAGGGACCAGCTCTGGCTCAAGGGACAAGGGACACGGAGGGGACAGGCTAAGGAGAAGGGCCCCAAAAACCACCCCGTGCCTAGTGGGCACGGGTGAGGCTAAAGACACCAAAGGTCAGCACTAGACATGCGCGGGGAGGCAAAGTTCAGTCCTTAGGTCCCCACAGAGGTGAAGTCTCCGTAAGGATGGATAACCGGGCGTGGGAAACTCCTTGGAGCAAAACGCCTCCGCTCGGGGGGAGGCCAGCTCAGCCACCCTCCACCTCTCCGAGCAGGGATTCTCCCTCCGCAGACCGGGACTGGCTCGGGGCTCCTTCAGTGCCTTACGAAACTCAGCGCGGGGATGTTAACACGCAGGCGAGACGGCAGTCTGCAACCCTGGCCAGCACTGCGCTCCGGGGGGACTCGGAGACCGCCTAAGACACACAAATCTGGAAAGGGGCATTTGGGTTCACCCCTTCAAATCAAAATATTTTTCAGTTTGACGAAGCATTTTAATAGCAGTCTATTAAAGATGTTTCTGCAGAGACAGTGCTGTCTGCACAGCAAGCCAGAAACTAGACCAAACTCAGCCCATTAAAAATACATTTTGTTAGGCCCAAGCGAGGTGCTTTCAGAAGTGGTTTTACACGATCAGACAAAATAACACGTTCTTCTACCGACTGCTCCACTCATCTCCATATAGGTACCCTATTTGAATGTCTGCTGGGTGGGCTTTCTCTGGGCAGAGGTGCCGGCTGGCTTCGCAAGTAGGAACATGCGTTGCCAGTATACATAAACGCACATACGATGAGCACGTATGATGTGAAAATGGGCTCTGCGGGGATGCTGGGGTGTTACACGGGCAGGGGGTAGGTCCTGAATTCGTCTGACAGCGCAGGAATG